GCAGTTTCTTTGAGAGACCATCCTCCTTCCCACTCTAGAGGTGAGATGTGGCACCGAGAAGTGTGCAACAGTTCTTTGTCTCCGCCCAATCGGTTATCGTGGAAAGTGTCTCCAAGTAACATCGTAGTGACAGCAATAAGCTGTAATGAGGCATATTATAGGAAAGAACAAAGTTTCCAGTCCTTAAGTCCTTTTTGCCTCTTCCCAGTTCCTACCTTGGAACACAGCATAAAACTTTAAACTGGAGTTCCTTTGTTGTTTCGCACTTTATTTTCGCACTTAATTACTGCTTCGAGCAGTCTCATGGGTCGCACAAAAAATGGGTTCTCCACAGAACTTCACCCCTAGAATCCAATCCTAATTTCAGCCAAGGGCTACGTACTGACTGGAGGTGAGAACTGATGAATCTCTTTAAGATAGCGCTTGCTTTGAATACATGCAATAAATCCTATGCACGGCAACACAAGCACGCACAATGAGATGAGTTATTGACGCTACGAATATTACACTAAATTTGTCGTAGCATCTATATCCACAAGCCGCAGCGACAGAGTTGTTTCAAAGCAATTTGTTCAGTTTAAGCAGAGCGCATCACATACATTCACCCGATTTTAACTGAACACTTTCATTTCATATGCCAATCGATAAACGGTAACAAAGGGCTCTTAACCTTGGCACCGACAATAAGAACCCAAGCGGATAACAGCGGAACTATCATTCGTCTTTCTTTACTAGTTAGCAGACCTAAGGACTCAAAAATGAACGTAATAAATGAAAATGCCTATATGAAAAAACAATAATACTAGTTTAAAATTCACCAACCAAAGACATCCGCCGCCCATACAATGGTCCTCCAGTCGAAGGTTCAGCCGGGCTTTGACTCCTACTGCTCTCCTCAGCAGCTCCTCGCTCTTCAATAACGTCTAAAGGAATACCCGTATCGTCCTCGCTAGCGAGAGAAGCTAAACAAGCAATTTAGCGGGGAAATCGATAATCGATCGCGACATTAGATGGGTACAGTATGTACGTGGTTCTAGCAGCATGCACACAATCATGCGTTGTCACCTTTGCTCTTGCTAGCTTCATCTTCATGTTTCTCCAGCATTTGCTCTTGTGCCACTTTGTGACATACCTCAAACGCTTGTCCTATCGTACGGACCACCCGCATCGCTTGGCTCTGAACAAAGTCGTCATAGATACAATTATGAACATTAACAAAAGCTGAAACGCCAAAGCTCCCTGCCTTTCTGTGCAGGAATCCTCTTGTTCAACCCTTTCACAGAAGTGATCAACAAACCTCCGAAATTCGCAGTCGAAAGTTCTTTTTCAGAGAGTTTGAGGACTAATGAAGATTATCGTTAAAATTTCCACCCAAGCTAAAAATATAGCCCTCCTCTGCGCGATGCTACAACTTCAATGGCATATTCGATAACACCCCAATAAACCACGAATGTGTTGCGGAGATAGCTGGGATAGTGATGGCAGTTTAACCCAATAAAACGGGATCACGGACCCGCAACCAAGGACCTTGAGAAGTGAAACAAAGACTGAGCTGTGAGGCTTGACTACTATATAGGAGTGAATTTAGAGGACTAAATATTGCACTGCTATCAAGCTGGAGTACTACAAACCTCATCACTACTCAATAAGATTGAACTGTGTTCACAAATACAAACACAGAGACTATAAGGGTTTCAAAAGAAAGACAAAATGTTAGAGATCATTGCAAAACTTTGTGGCTCTGGTAATTACACGGCAAAAATGATTCTATTGTTGTTTTAGGGTAGGACACCCTTTGATGATTTGATGAAATGATCAAAGGGTGTCCTACACTTTGATGATTTTACCAAATGCTAAGGTAAGGTGATTGATAAAAATTAAGACAGCATAAAGTCAGAAGACTTAGTATAAGTATTTCAATGATCCTAATTGATCACACCGCATAGCTAATGCCCCCTTCACACATCCTTTGAGCTGTTTTATGGACAGTATCCTGTACCTCAAGCACTGGATCGTCATCACGGCTACTACCCTGCTCTTCGGGTGACCATGTAACAAATTTCGTTTTGATCGGCTTCCGACCCGGTTTCGCCATCAGCCGAAGGTAATAGAAGCGTTTCTCCTCGCTCATGTCCTCGTCGTCGTCCGGATCGAATCTGATCATGATCGTCGTTGTATCGTGGTGGCAACTGTATCATACAATACTGGCAATACTCATTCCGTGATCAGTCAACGAATCAGCACAGGCGCGTTCTTGAGGACCGACGTCAATCAATGTGCTATTGATCCTTCACGAATACTGGTTAATAACTTGAATGTGATGATAACAGTGATGATGATGACGGTTACTCAATTAATGACCAATCGATACCGCCTACGTGACCGATCAATATTCGATTCAATACGCGGAATCGCAGTAACTGTTGGCAATCAAGGGAAGCTCGACTGCTGGCGCATGTAGTATAGGAGGACGTCGTGCGACGATGTCTCTGTCTAGCGGCAGCTGACGGCAGGGACGCAGAGCTGCGAACCACCGACTGTGCAGCACGATGCTCAGAGAGGTGGGAGAGGTTCAAGACGCTCATTGGCACGTCGAACCCCTGAAAGCATCACTGACGACAGCTCTCAACATATCCACACACATACGCATACACGCACCGTCCATACATACATCCATACATGCGAATATAAAAACACAGCACTCTTTTAACCAGTTTATGAAAAAGAGCACAATACGCCTTACTGCCTTTCGGTTACTTCGTTGTTTGTTCCATAAAGCTTTGCAACAAAGGTGCCAGGAAGATGACAGACGAGGTTATCAAAGTTTTCATGAGGAGCTGTGAGCTAAATGTGGTATTAGAACTCTTTTCATCGCTCAATTTAGCTTCTTTCTGTGACAGGAGGTTTCTTCAGAGGGCTCATTGTGAGGCAGGTGTTTGGATTTCTCCATCACTTCTCTTCTAAATAACTGTGTCGATCTTTGCAGGGAATCGTGCAAAAGCTTATTTCCACCTCATTTTCCCACCACCTTGGTGGTCATCATTTTCAATCTTAGGGGGCGACCTATAATACACGGCAAGTTGCTGCTCTTATAGGTCGTCCATCTTTTTTTCTTTATCAAATTATCGTGACTTATGCCTTCAAGAAACACCCGGGAGATCCTCAGAGGCATAAAACATAGTAAAGTGGGTACTGGATTCCAAAATGGTAGCAGGGGCGTTATATAGTGAGAAACTGGCAAAAAACGAAGTGAAACGGTCAAAAACCTGCAAAAAAGCCTTTGTTCTACACGACTCAGAAAGCAATTTCGGACGAGTTCCCGTTGGCATCGTGCCAATAACCGCTACGGTAGATACGGCTGCATGTATGTACTCATATATCCATGCAGCACCGCAGCCGCTTCATATCAATCCCTTCGCTTCATATTGTACTTCGCAAATGAAGCGATACGAGCATCAGCATCGGTCGGACATTTGTGGGCGGGGCGGGGTGGGGGCGTTGGGCGTCGGTCGGTATGTAGCAGCTTGGTAGGGCGCTACCAAGGGTACCGTTCTTGAAAAAGGCGCCACGCAGCGCGTGCTCAGAGTGCCGAGTTCTGTCCTGCTAGGTGTATCAATCCTACATGTCTTGGGAATTCGGGAAAAGGAAAAAATGGGTGCAAATTACCGTGCCACTTGCCTGTAACAAGTAGAAGCGTTAACGTTTTCATGATCAGAATCCAACACTGTCTGTGTTACTTCACTGCGGGTTAAGGGCTTTTCATGAAAAGGCCTAGTTTATTGCACCCTAAGACACTGCCTGCAAATCTCTGGACTTCGTGGCTTCTGCGTGCATTCCCGTCGTGAAAATTCTTACGAGAATCTAACGAGAATCTAGAACACTCAAATTCACAACTCTCAACATGTGTACACGGTCACACAACCCTTTTAACGAGATCAACACGTTGCGCCAGCCTGGTCTAATGTGTTCAAGTTCTGATTTCCAAGGGCTACATACCACTTGTCATTTATGGCGAAACCTCAGAATACTTCAGTGAAATAGCTAATTTCACTGCAGTACTTCAATAATAAAATCGTTTCATTCTCACACTCGACATTGCTCCCACATATGTCGAGCGCCACATGCGATCCTAGCTTTTTCGTATATTCGCGCACACGGTGTAACGCGAAATGACGTAAACGCGGCGCTCTTAACCTCATTGCAAAGTGTCTGCAGAAAAATGTTTCAGCAAAATGCTCACATCAACTAGAAATGAGCTTTCATAGTCTCCTGTTCTTCATTACACCTTTCCCTACTTGGCACAATTTTCGCGTATCAAAATTAGCGCAACGCTATCACAAAACAGACTACAGCCGTAATCACAATCAAGGATTAGTGACTGACTTTTCGACACGCCTACATTCTAGAAGCGTTCTATTTCGAGTGTTCGCGCCTTTGATCACACTTCTGCCATCAATCTCTCCATGCCAACTGTTTCTAATTATTACTGACGGCGTTTTGCGCCGCGAAGAAGAGGAATCGGTCATAAATTGTTAACGGCCAAATGACCGATCAGACCAATAACAGACCAGTGAAGTCAGGGCGGTCCGGTGGACTTGAAGCCAACAGACGAGACATCTGGCAAGAGTAAGAAATTCAAGCAAGTGCACGAATCAATGTACAAGGCGTGGAGGATAATACGCAGCAGGAATTCAGGGTCGCTGAGCAGGGCCGCAGGCGCCCTTTCCACTCTTACAAGCGCCCGCCTTTTGGCAAGATGTCTCGCTTTCGATGGCGGAGGAGAGAAATGGCAAAGTTCAGAGCGGAAGTCCTAAAACGGTCATTAATCGGGGATGACTGTCACAACTTCGCTGGGCCTGGGAAATACATCATGACAACATGACGAGAATCGAACGGCTCGGAGGAGTTCAATAATATAAAAAAGCGTTTTATTCTCTGAAACATGCGAGCTTTGGCAATTCGCGCAGCGTGGAAGCGCAGAGCCGCTGAGGCCCGGGCAACTATCCAGTGATGTTGAGTTTGCGAAGCGCTATGCAGAGAAGGCGATAAAGAAGACTCAGGAGGGGAAGAGCAGGCAGTACTGGTGGGAGCCGCAGAGGCATGTGAATAGTGGCAGCCCGTGGCGGCTTCGCCAACTGTTAAGACAGTACGCCTGTCTGGCTCTCGTTGAACCTCGGCATAAAGGATAATAGGATAAAGTCTTCTCCGTTTATCAGCGGGATGCGGCACGCATTCTACTTCCATTCAGAATCGTAGTGGCTTATTGAATGCGATGTGGCCTATACAATGACTTGCGGGGCCAGCCGATGTAAGTCAGTGTTTTTACCTGGCCAGAATGAATCTGGTAGCCTAATGTTACCGTCCCGGCAGGGTGTAGAAGGATTGCTAGGACAATAGTCGACCCGGGAGTGGACCCGGGATGCTTCGCTAGTAGTTGAGTATTTAATTTAATGAGAATACTGGACACGAGGATATCAAGTTAATATGGTTCGGTAAGCGATTTGGGGCCGATTTCGCTTCATTTGGCGTGGAATTTGGGAAAAATTTATAATGATTAATATCGACCAAATGTCTATATACCCTACGAGACTTCATAGCCCACTAGTCCAACAAATAATTAAAATAACAGGAAAACAAGCCGACGTACGGTTTGAAATACTAGACGCAAGCCCGTTGTTCGATCGATATGATGACGCGATATAACGTGTTTGGATGTTTGTCGGATTTGTGATCGAATCAAAATCCCTCTAGTTTTTTGCACGGATCGTTTGAGTGCATAGCAAGGATATTGACCGTTACCTCAAGAACCTCTCCGTTATGACTTTCGACACTGTGGTAACAAAGAGCTGCTGAGGTACGCGACCTGGCTTTCATCAAATCTCTTAAGACAACATGGTACGCTCACATTGAGGGTGTATGAGACTATCAGCCCCCCAGATGTCGATGTGTCGTGGTCCCCCCGCCCAAACATGCCCAGGAATGGAGATACAGGGCCGTGAAACACGCTAATTCTTCCATGCTCCGCCCACTGCCTTTTTACGGCGCAGATTCCGCCGTTCATAACATCCGTCGTACGTAAGCGGCTAGTCGGTGGCGGCTCTTGGACTTTGCCAGTCCTTTAATTGCGCTCTCAAATACAAGGAAACGCAATATTCATGATGGCGGATAAATTGGAAGGTGCTACAATAAGAAGCCAGAAGATAATGAGAGGGTCTAACTAAAGCATGTGCATTCTGCCAGCTCCCCTCGAGGCGGTATTTCCACGAAACATGAAAATAAAAAACGGCATACTCGTTAGTTTAACAAAGACGCAATTTCCTGATGCGAATAAAATTTTAGGTGTTGCTCATGCTTCAAAATCCATGTACAAGGAGATGAAGATGACACAGGCTAGAAATGAAGCACAACGATGTAAATGTAAAAAAAAAACAAAAAAAAAATCAAGGAAAGGCAATAGATAGAAACTGGATGTAATTTCTACGATCCGCTGCGCAAAGCCATAGAATACTTAGAAAAACGAGTGGGTACGCCCTGGGACTGTTTTTATTTTGCTATGTTTTTGTGGGAATGCGGCGCCTTGAAAGGATAACTGCATGATGCGGCCGGTTGCTCTTGAGTTCTGTCCTTGTCATCATCTTGCTGCTCCCTTATTTTGTGCACCTCAATGTTTTCATCAGAGAATTGCGTTTTCGCTTGTATTTGAAGGCGCTAATTTAAGGACATTGGCAAAGTGCAAGGAGACCCACGGACAGCGCTTACGACGGATGTTATGAACGGCGGGAATCTGCGCCGTAAAAAGGCAGTGGGCGGAGCATGGAGGAATTAGCGTGTTTCACGGCCCTGTATCTCCATTCCTGGGCATGTTTGGGCGGGAGGACACGACACCATCGAACATTGGGGCTGATAGTCTCATACACCTCAAGTGTGTATGAGCGGTACTATGGTGATTTGACCGCCAATAACGAGTCGCTTTCCCTATATATTCGTATCCACAGTTTTGATATGAAATATTGTGACCACCTCTGTAAATGGCAGTCCGCGTCTGCCAATGGGACAGACTAGCATTTCGCCGATTTACATTGTGCGATCGTAGAGGCGATCAAATGATGTATCTTCACAGGTTGTCGGATGGAACGTCCATATCCAACAATATTTCATGATTCG